CTTGTCCATGAAGTATAGATGACAGAAACTTTTCAATCAGTTTTGTCTAATATATCTTTTAAATGGTATATTTGGACCATGCAGATGTAGGGCAATTATTGATACAAACTTTTTATTATCAGTTTTTTGCTTTCTGTTTTTCATCTTGTTTCTTTTGCACTTTGTTCCTTTTTGTTTCTTCTGAGTGACTTCCCATAATAATTTTACAGTTATTTATTTGCTTCATCTGTAAACTTATGTTCTAGATTTTCGGTTAGTGTTTACCGAAGCAGCTGTGTCTAATCTACTTTGTCTAGAAATGGTTTGTATGAGCTGGTATCCACTCTTGCATTTAACTATAGTTTCTGTCCATTTCTTTCTCCTTTTTAGGGACTTGTTGACTCATAATCTTATATATGTTCCTGATTTTTGTCATTTTGCTCAAGATTTGTTTCATCAACTCCTTTCAAAATTTCTACAGGGAAGGTCTGGTGGTGATAAACTCTAAGTTTCTGCTTTTCTGGGAAAATTAGTAGTTAGCCTTTCTATTTAGTAATTTTGCTTTATAAAATATTCTTATTTGGGAGAAACAGTTACATTCTCTTTTTGTGTAGAGAGTGGAATGAAATCTTAGAAGTTTAGTTGGGTGCCTTTTTAAATTATCTTTTTCCCTTAACATCCTGCATTTTTTTTTTAACCTTTGATATTTTTGACATTGTGTCTTGATGTAGGTTTTTTAGCATGTAGAAATTGGGTGTTTTCTCTGCTTCCTGGATACCCACACTTAATTCATTCCTTAGGATGGGGAATTTCTCAGTTGTTCTCAGCTATTAATTCTTTGAAAATAGTCTGTTTCCTTCACTCTCTCTCTTCACCTTCTGAAATATCCATCATTCTCTTTCCTCTTTACTTGAGAGTGATATTTCTCCTAGTTTTACCATTTTCCTGTCTTCTTTCTCTTTCTAAGTGGGTGATTTGTACCTTCTATTTCTGAAATTCTTTTTCTATCATTTCACGCTATTTAAAAGGTTTTCTGTTTGCTTTCATGTCATTCAGTGTATATTTGTGTGCTTATTTTCTTTCTAAGATTTTGTACCTGTTTGCCTGCTGTTGTCTGACCTTCAATAGGTCATTTACAATTTTTAATATTGTTACGGTTTTCCTGATAAGTCTTCTATTGCTGTATCTTTACATATGTCCCAGAACTTCTGCTCTTCTCACTTTGCTTGTTAATCATGTTTTCAAGTGTTTCTGTTCCTTAGGCATTTGTGGTGCCTTGTTTAAGTGGGGAGCTAAGATCCTTCCTTCCTTCCTTCCTTCCTTCCTTCCTTCCTTCCTTCCTTCCTTCCTTCCTTCCTTCCTTCCTTCCTTCCTTCCTTCCTTCCTTCCTTCC